CTTTAAAATGTCTCAAAAACCCCCCCCCCCCCCCCGTGCCACATTTTTTATCAATTTCACAGTTGCACAGGTAGAGTAGTTAGTGTCTCAGCAATGCAACGTTGCTACCTCTGTGAATATCCCCACAACTGTTAGTAGGACTTGACAGGATTTGGAAACACTGCCCTGCACTATCCATTTATTTTTATATGTCACATTCAGGCTACTTTTATTTACTTTAAATTGTTGGCAGACTCCCTTACTCCCATCTCCCACTTCCAGCTGGATACTGGGAACACTAGACACACCTTATTAGGCAGCATAATGTTATGTAACATCTAAAAACAGCGTGGGAACCTCAAATGTCTATTTAATAAGAAGCAAAAGCTTCTCTTCATCCTCCACCAAGTTCCTGGAGTCCTTTTTATACCTCAACGTCAGCATAGAAAATAAAATGACAAGCATGCCTTGTGGACACTTCATTAAAAGAGAAGTAAGGATGTGTTTTTTTCATAACTGATTGAAAAGGTCATTCATGACCTTAATATGGGTTATGGTCTTAATTGAACCAGTCACTGTAAGAGGAAATTGGAGTGGGGGTAATCTGTGTTAAAGAGCGTGGAAAACACACTATCTAGTCAGGGTGCAACCATGCATTCAGTTTGCTAATGCATTCATTTCCAATCAAGAAAATAAGAAACAAAAAATTTAATTCCTCTTCATTATGTATCATCAGCTCAATTAACCTTTATATTTGCAGTAAAAAACACAGATTACAACTTTCTCATTTTGTCTTGATTTGAGATTTATGGCTATTACTCATCATCGGTTTGCATTATGTTGCATTTGTTTATTTTGTTTAAAGCGGTTGTACTGTGAAGAATTTACAGCTTTTTACCTTGACAATGATTGCTGGTATAATAAAGAAAATGAATAGGGAGTAAACAGTTCAGGGAGCTATTGAGAACTACACAACACAGTTTTCACTTTAATTTCCTTGCTATGCTGTTCTGTTTCTAGCAGGGACATCTTACATGCTTAAAGGGGATTTCCACCTTCACAAAAATTAAGAACTTCTACTACGCTGGATGATGCTAATATGTTTGGTTGCTGTCTGTGTAGAAGTTGTTTGGAGCAGGTCAAGGTTCTCCAAAAGCTCCTGCAACTGTATGACACTTTTTTGTAAACAGCTGGTCATCCTGTAGTCAACTTCAGACAGCTTTTAAAGTAGAGGTCAACTTTCTTGTAGAAAGTGGAAACCCCATTTAAAAAGTGAGAGTGAGGAGCTCTTTCATGCAACACATAATTGGCTGATCTCTGTTGTCTTATCTATAAGAGATTGAAGCTTCCGGTCTACATACACAACTATTCCTTCTCCGTTGTATTAAAGAACATGACGAATGTTAGGCAAGGTGGCATATGAACTTTGAGTTTCAGGAAAACCTGTATCCAAGCTAAGAATATTTAAATACTTATATATTTTAACCAGCAGTAAATAAGCTTTAAAAAAGGTCCCTATTGATCAGTGTAGCTGCAGATACTGTGGATAAATTCACCCTTAAATTCTATGGCAGAAGCACTGATGTTGTTTAGGTCACCATCTCCCCTTCCCTCCCACCTGCAGTGACTTGTCAGCCTCTTTAATTTCTATAGTAAGCACAGAGAAGTGATGCAGTGTGAGCTGAGCTACCCGAAAGAACAACTTTAGTATTTATGCTTTGAGGGTGAATTGCTCCACAAAGCCTGCAGCTACAGTGGTCAGTGGAGCTTGTTTTAAAACCCATTTACAGTTTTTAAAGAAACATACACAACATTACTTGGAAGAGTAAGCATTAGTCACTTGTTTACAGTGATTTTATGTTTTTTTTCCTGTACAACCTCTTTAAAAGCTTTGCATGACATTTTCTAAATGTTTATTACTCTTATTTTGATGTTTGCTTGCATCCATTTTATATTGCTTACTAACATTTTTATATTTTGCTTTCTTTGCCATTATTTCGCCTTCAAAAGTTGCATTGATGAAAGCTGACTTGCAAGGTAGACTGCACTGTATGTTTAACCCAAGACTGAAACCCAATGCACATAATAAGTCCTGAATATATCCATGCATTTGTGCATTACAGTGCTTTCTCTTTTATGAGCTTTCCCCTTTCTTCTTTTATAAAGCAGATGTAAAAACCCTGCTCTAATTAGCATATAGTTTGCATAAGGGCTTTCAGTCTTGACGATGTGTGTATAGTGACTGCCTAATTGCTTTGATCATCCCCTTCTAATTTCTTATTTTACAATGATCTAATTATGATTCTTTAGAGGTAGAGCAGAACTGTGTGTCCCTTTTATGTCACATTTGGGCATGCCAAAATATTAATACACAAGAAAACAAAAGAAAACACATGGGATCGGGAGAGCATGCAAATCAGTACTTGCCAACATCCAGTAGAAGACTTTATCATTTTACTATTATTCTTAAAGTATGTCATGTTTAAACTCAATTTTTTTTTTTAACTAAAGAATTTCTTCTGTAATCATTGCAATTCATTTTATTTGAAAATACATTTTGGGTTTAGTATGCAGGGTGGAATAGCCTGATAGAATGTGCTGATCTCTGTGCCATTAGCCTTTCATAATAAAATACACTGAACATTTGTTTCCTACTTGCTTTGTTCAAGCAAAGAGTGCATGTCCATGTATGCCCAACTTGTTCTTTTTATCTTTGGATAGAATTGAGAAAGATTAGAATCCCTGTTGGGTTTATTGCTACTTAAGGCTCTGTTAGATAGACTTCCTATTACTTCCTGTCTTGGTAACAGGTTTTGACCAGACAGAAAATGAGGGTAAATCTTCAACAGTAACACATGTAAAGATAAAAAAATAAAGGGGGAGGATAGAGCCCCTGTCAGCTTGTTATTGCTGCCGGAGTCCCTGTTGCTGATTTTCCCTTACTTCCTATCCAGTGAAACCAGTATCACTGGGGAAGGAAGTGAGTTAGACTCTCTCTAATGGAGCTCCATATAGAAATGAATTTAAAACCCAGTAATGGTTGTAATCATAATGGGAGGGGGGAGGATTCAAGACCAGTCACCCTGCACAAGGAGGGAGAGCAGCAGTGACCGGTCTAAAATAGAGGAAACTCCTGCACAGCGGCAACTTGTGGCATTCTTTTAATAATAGATTACTGCACAGATCTAGAAAAAATACATATAGGAGGCCAGCATTCAAGTAAGCATTTATATGCCTCTTGTATTTACACTATACTTGTTTAGCCCAGAGTTTAGCTTTAAACTCTAGAGTATTTGTTTTGTACAACAAGGTTTTACAAAGCATTTGCAGAGCTTTCAGCAAGCGTTTTTGAAGTCTTTAAAATTCATACTACTCCAGTTTTGGAATGTTGAACACAGATCTTGAAAAAGAAAATGTGGACAGAATTTAAGATTGGATGAAAAGAGGTTTAATCTTAAGGGATAATTCCACTTTCCCAGGTAAATTTGGGAAAATCTGCTCCCTACACAGCTTAGAGACGGCCCGTACAGATCTGTGCGGCGTGCGCGGCCATCTCGGGCTGTTCCTGGGAAGGACAGGTGCTGTGTGTGATTGTACGCAGCAGCCTGTTCTTTCCTATGGGCGGACATAGCCGTACGCTGCTGTACACTCACCTGAGCTGCACATCTGTGCGAGTGCCCGTGCTTGGATGCAGACAGGATCCATCCTGCCTGCATCCGAGTACGGATACCCGCACCTGCACGGATGTGTAGATTGGGTGAGCGTACAGCAGGGTACGGCTGCTTCCTCCCATAGGAAAGAACAGGCTACAGCGTACAATCACACGCAGCGCCTGTCCTTCCTGGGAACAGCCCGATACTGGTAAATATGGGTAAAACTCAAACTCACACACACATACACACACGTTAAACTGAATGAACCTATGCCTTTTGTTAACCTCATCAATTATGTAACTATGTCATTTTAATGTATTAAAGGCTGTTTACCTTTAAAACCATGTTTTGTGTTACACCAATATTCAGGAGCCACAGCATTGCAACAGGGAGGCTCTGATCATGATTGCAACACTTTGCTGGCTCCAATGCAAAAGAAAAATAAATAATACATGCATTTTCTTTCCTCATTTTATTCATTTATTTAATATTGCATATTTTATGTATTATTTTTTTTTAAGTGGACTTTGCCTTTAATGGGGGGGGCTGATAGCAGCTTGTTTAAAGTGACAACAAGTACTTCCCTCAAGATCTGTGTTTAACTTTTCTAAATTGGAACTGAAAAGTTCTTTAAAGGCTTCAACAAAACTTGCTTGACACTTGCCAAAAGCGTCACCAATTCTATCCAAAGTCTGCTGTATGCACAGCTCTTGTACAAGCTAAAGCCCATATGAGCATGGCCTTACAAATATGTCATTGATGTACTGAGCTTTGTTCCTGGAGTTCATTTTTGCAGGGGCTGAATGCACAACTTTCATTTTTTTTTTCTGAGAGTGAGTGTCAATACAATACCAGGTGTACATAAAGGTATGTTGGACCTCAAAGCAAAAACAATAACAACAACAAAATACTGCCTTTCTTACACAGTATATCATTTTGCTGAAGTACACTACAGAGAGATTAGCTGAATGTGCAGCCTCCCTTCTTTCCCTGTTATTGTGTATCATTGCCTGCAACAACTAACAAGTAAGATAGAAGCCCAAATGTTTCCTAAGTGTGTACACATATGGAAGGCGATGCAAACAGAGACAGCAAAGGCATTATTCAGTAAATATATTATGCTAACCCTCAGGAATATTGTTTGTATTTTGCCAATACTACTCCTCTAAGAATTGTTGTTTATTTATTTTTAATGTACTTAATAAAAAATATGGGAAGAATAGGGATGTTGGCAACCACCGTGAACATGTGTTCAAAAATCTTTGTCAAGTTTTAAGGCAAAGTCCAATTACGTATGTTGCTTGCAGGTCCAAGCACAACATGTCAAGAGGATTCCTGTGCGAACCAGGGTGTGTGCTTGCAACAATGGGATGGATTCAACTGTGACTGCAGTATGACCTCATTTAGCGGAACCTTGTGCAATGACCGTGAGTATTGTTGGCTGATTTCAAAAGCATCAGAGCTTAAGGCAGAATCTGATCTAATGTCTAAGGCTTTTGAGCTAAGATTCTATTATGCAGTAAATGAACAGACTTACTAGTTGTTGCTTATTTTCCATCAATAGCTATAACACAGCCTTACTAGAAGTCTGCTGTAGCATTTCTGAAAAGAAATTGACACAGAAATGTAAATTTGTTTGCATAGGCATATAAAAATTAAAGCTCAAATCAACTATGATAATGCTTAAATAATACTCTTAGTGATGTATTTATCTTTTCTCTAAAGCATAGCATTTTTCATTTAAAAGGTTATGAATATTAGAGTAGGAGATAATTGGCCAACCTTGTTCATAGATTTGGTCGTTTTAAAGATGACTTATTAGAATATATTCCAATCAAATGGTATATCACTTGTCTGTGCTGTAGAATGTTTTTACTGTTCAAATTTTAACTTAATTCTAAAACCATATTTCCAAAACCATTTTGCATTTCCTTCGGGGCACATTAAAATTTGAAAGAGAAGGTGCTGAAGGAAAAATATTCACTTTATACAGACGTGACCTGACTCTTTTTATGGATATTTTATGCCACACTCTTTAAATTAAAATGGTCTGGGACTATGAAATTTAAAACTGAGTATTTCTAGAATGCCAAGAATAATAGAATGTGCATGCTGCATGTATTTTATGCTGTTTGAAAAAGTTTTATTTATTGCGAATGCATAAGAAAGCATTTCCTATAACGCAGAAGAAGATGGAAAACAACAAAGGTAAGTGCACATCTTTTTAAAATCTTAATCATTTCTGTTATTTGATCATTTCAAGCAGCTGTGAGACCCACAGAAACTGAACTAATAATAAGGCTTGGTGAGGGAAAAAGAACATGATATTATAAGGCAGAGCATACCATGTTTGCTGTGCATCATAGGAACATCCTGGTGTTGGAATATTGCAGTATGTCCGGGACATTTCTTTGGCCTAGGAGGTTCAGGTTTAATCATAACTGTTTTTTGGAGAAACAAATACAATGTTTTTTGGTAGTTAATTGAAATGTACGTTTTCTTTAAAGTGTAATTCCAGACAAGTATTTTGCTTTAGCTTTGGATAGGGTAAAACCTATCAGATTTGTAGTGCTGAAATGAATGTAGAAGAATTTGGGAAGCACATTGCCTGTCCTAGATGAGCAGCCTGTAAAAATAAAATAAAGCAGATGGATACAATACTGATAGCAGTGCAAACTTTATATCCAGACGTGTACAAAAACCCAACACATTCGGCCATGATCGGGAGCTGTACGGGCTATTGTGAATAAGGGGTCCTGGGGCCGAAGCTAGCCGAAGGATCGGCCGAAGCTACGGCCAGATCCTTCGGCAGCTTCGTGAATAGACCCCTAAGTGTCTTTCATTAGGACTTAAAAAACAGAAAATATTCAAGTGTACCATATGTGACTAAAACAAATCTTTTACAGTTAACATTTCCAAATATTGCTATCTTGGTCTCGGTTGGGGAGATATTGCCTAATTTCCTGCTATGGAGACTATTGTCAATAGAACAAGAAGACAAATCTCCCCAATGGGAGCTCAAATAACATTAAAAACCTGACTTAGGTTCTAACCCTTCTCAACTTCATTGAAAATAAGTGTTGCACATATCCCCCATTGGAGAGATTTCCTGTCTTGATGACCATCATCACAGAAATGTTCACCAATAGGATGTAAACATCAATAAAAAACGTGCATTGTCTGCAACAAAACAAATATAGCTTTTGTTGGCATTCCAATTTAAAGGAAATAAGCATAGTGACATGGAGGTATAAGTGGTTTTGATGGGTTACTTTGTACCCTCTCCCATGCGCAGAAGGTAATGCAAAAGGCCAAATGCCAATGAAAGGTCAGTATGAAGTGTTCTGTTATGTGTTTATTGTACTTACATCTAGAGACAGGCAGTGCACAAGAGACATGTGTGCTACCACAAAAATGTATTGAGGACTACTTCTCATTCTGTTAATTCCAAAATAACTGTATTCACATAAGCCTGCTGGTGCCACCAAGCATAAGTCATTGAATCATATAATAGAATGGATTGCAATAAAAAAGCACTTCTACTGCAAAACATTGTAATATATTTTGAATGGCTTATGCTGCCTACCAGAATATGGCATTACTTGATGATACATATATGTATTTATTTAACCTGTGTCTTTTATGTACTAGTTGTACCATATTACCAATACAATAGTATTTTTTGCATTGAATGTTGGGTGTGCAGACTCTGTCTTTATATATTGCATTTGTTATTGGGAGATGGGTTGGCTTCCTAAAGATTAGTTTAGCACCCCTACACTGCATTGCTCCTTATACTTTATTGGAAAAGGTGTGTGACACACACCATCATTAACTATCTATATGAGTAACATAAGAAGCCTGCATGTGATTCAGCTTGCTAGTAACCATGCAAAGTTTAAAGATCAGATGGAGTTTGCTTTTCAGATCTATTTACTAAAATAATACTTTATGCATAAAAACTAGAACAAAAAATATATAGGGGTCAAGTCACAAAGCTGCCATAGGCAGCCGAGTGAATAACTGACCCGAAGTGAAGTGAGCTGAACACTGTTCGGCTATTCACTTCAGGCTTGTACGGCTGATGTCAGCCGTACACAGACTAATATCAGCGTACATCAGCTTGCTGCGGCTGGCTTTGGGTTAGCCAAACATGCTCAGCATGTTCGGCTGACCCGAAGTGCAGAAGGAGTTCGACTAAGCTGATCCAACATCTGGATCGGCTGAGTCGAACCTCCGGCAGGCTACTCGCTGCTGTTCGGCCTATTCTCATAGATGTTCGTCCAGCTTCGGCTTTCACCTCGGCCCAGTCGAGCCGAAGCATATGCCTTTGGCTTGACTGAGCCCCTCTGCCAAATTTGGCAGCTGTTTGGGCTATAGTGAATAGCCAGTACAGCAGCCCTTTGGTTCTACTGAACCAAAGGGGTCCTGGGGTCGAAGCTAGCCGAAGGATCAGCCGAAGCTACGGCTAGATCCTTCGGGAGCTTTGTGACTAGACCCCATAGTAAACACTCACATTGTTCCTTGTTTAGCCAGTATGTGGCTGCTGTTGTCACCATTGACAATCTCTGCATCCATTCCTCTGAAAGGGTAACAACCAGGATAAAACAAGGGAGATAACATGTACAGGGCTGTCATCCTTCTCCTTGCCTAATTATCAAGGCAGTTGCTGACCAGGAGAAAGCATGTGCATATTAATTTCAGTGCATATGTTTTATTTTCTAAGTCAGTGAACCACCAAGTATTGATGGCAGGATAAAGATAACATATCCCATATGTGCAACCTTCAAAAATAAGTGAGCAATGGAATTCTTTTTTGTTTACCATTTCCTTTGAAGGAAGAACTGCTGGTTGCCTACAATAGCCAATTAACCTGTTACATCTTGTCTCTTGTACTGCACTGCACAAAAAAAGTTTTAATTTAATTGGTTGCTTTGGGCAACAAAAACCGTTCCTTCAGAAATTGAAATGGTGATAAAGAAGTTCCAAAATTAGAGAGGGTATAGTCAGGTGGTGGCATTGATGACATAAGGTAACCCACCACACTGAAATTAAGTTTACTGAAGTCATGCCATTACAACAATAATTCTGATTTGTTGTTTTGGGTGTTTGTTAGTGTAGGTAGACTGGTGAGAGAAGCAATGCCTTGTAACCTAATTGATCAAAGAACATTATAAACCCTTATGAAAATTGACTAACTAAAGTGCTAAAACTGTTGTATGATAAGTTGTGTGGTAAATAAGAGAAAAACAACATAACACATTGTAAAATCATGAAGTATAGAAAAACTGTAACACCTCAGTCTAAACACAACATTCTGGCTTCTGTTTGTTTGAACTCTTGGTAGTGCCAAGACATTAGTGTATTGTGTACAGAAGTGGCTTTGTTCAAGGGCTACTTGAAGACTGTACTTCTGGGAAAGTACATTTTGTGACATACTATATGCTTATCATATTGAATGTTCCATGAAAGGTTATTTTGTAGTGTTTGAGATAATAATTGTTTCACATAAAACATTTTTTATAAATATATAAATAAATAAATAAATATATATTGTATATCACTCAATGAAAAAAGGTTGAAAGAATATCTGCTTAAAGAAAACTTGTCGTGAGAAAAATATGTAGCGAACTGTCAATGCTGCCCTGAAAATGCCTGGTTTCCTTGTTTCCTGGCTGTTATGTTCACTCATGACTAATATGGAAGTATTCAGATCAAATGAAATCAGGGGTTTTATCTGCTTACTTTCTCTGAGACTCAAAGTATTAAATCCAGATGGCCCATGGGATAAACAGGAAACCGGTATTTTCAAAAGGAGAAAGGCAGTTATTAAAAGAGAACTATGGGGTAAGTGTTTTTCCCCATAGTTCTCTTAAGGGTCACGGGAGGACATATACTAACCTCCTCTTTTGACCCAAAGGTCAGTATATTGCGTGCTACAGCACGTGATATACTGAGACCGCCGCAGCCCGGACAGATCCTGGCAATACCGTCAAGATCCACCCAGCTGCGTGAGTGACAGCTGGCTCTGCCTATCTAGAGGCAGAGCCAGCTGTACCCGCCCCTCCCGTGTCAGTGCTGGGGGATCAGAGAGGGGAGGGAGGGAATCCAAGCGGGGAGTGGTGACTGGCAGTCACCACCCTCTGCAGGGAGATGATCGAGAAGTGAACGAGCGACGCTATGCGTTCGGTCACTCCACGATCTATTGAGCCGACGTGTGACAGTTTCATTGTCACACGTCAGCTCGAACTATGAGGATGACTGATTTTCACTCACCTCATAGTTCTCCTTTAAACTGTCACAAACCCATCCAGCCCTCCCAAGCTAAACCTGCTAACCCAGCTGCTTTTTTATCTTCGAAATGTTGCAGAGACCTCTTTGTTTGTTAGACATGCTTTAAATGTTAGGAGATCATTTGCATAAAAGA